AAAAAAAAAAAAAAAAAAAGAAAGAAGAAGGGAAGTAAAAAAAAAAAGAAAGAAAACATATTGACATAATCGTAGACTCGTTTTCTTAGGGAAAAAAACAATGACTGGCCATTGTTCTTCGTTTTATCAGTCAACGATATTTTTTTTCTTTCTCGCGTGGGATTTTATCGTACGGTAATCCCACGACCCTGCTTGTAAGCCAGCTAGACGATGACGATGACGATGATGATCATTGGGATTCGCATGATCGAAGAACTGTTGCTGGCTTGTTTCTACGTAATCTGGCTAACTTCAACCTGATTCGATTGGTTAAATATCGAAAAGCAAGGACGCTGTTACAAAGCTTACGATTAATTAAAGTAATAACCTTTTTTTGTTTTTCCTATCGAATATTATAATATTAATTTTCACATCGAACAAATCATTGTTATTAATTTTTTTTTTTTCCTTTTCTTTTTCTTTTTTCGAAATAATTGATGAAAAATTTATTTCCTTGTTTCCCTCTAACCCTTCCTCTCCCCACCCCCCAATCATTTGTTTGATTTACGAGATATTTTTCTATGTTTTTATTTAATACGGCAAACCCCCCCCCCCCACTGACACATTCGGGGTTTTTCGTTGAGAAAAAGCAAAAGAAACAATAAAGAAAAAAAAAGGAGCAATTAATAAACTTCATTTCGAAGGTCGATCTGTTGCACAGCACATACTACTCTTCTTGAGGCCTTGAAATGTCGGCCAAACAATATAATGTTCCCAATTCGACGACGTAACCGGCAGAATTTCAAGGATCGAAAAGATGACGTAACACACGACCCCGTCGTCGTCGCTTACTATATAACTACTTTAACCAATTTGAAATTCGATACCAATTGAAGAAGAAAGGATGATCGAGAGCATTTTTCGATTTGTCGAAAATAAAAATTAAAACAAAAAAAAAAAGAAAACAACACATTTTTCCTGTATATTATAGACTTGAAATATATTCATGAATACAAACACACACACATATACATAGAAAATAGAAAAGTCTGATGATATTTAAAAATGGGAAGGGTGGAAAATAAAAATGTTTTTAAAAAAAATATATATATATATGTATATAAATGAAATGCAACGGAGATGAAAAATTTGTTTTTCTCACAGTTTGTGTGTGAAAACGTATAAGAACTTATGTGGTTAGTAATAGTTCGTAAATCTTCCCCCCCCCTTTTTTTTTTTTTTTACTATATCTACACTGCTTGCTTTATCCCATGATTAGATAAGCCATTAGATAAGTCAATGTATTTTTATAATACCTTATTCGGCAGGTATAATAATGATTAAATTTGTCGAGAAGAAAGGGTTGCTGGCTGTTGTTTGCTTTGAAAATGCATTTGACTGGCTTTTTTTTTATCGTTTGCTGTTTTGCACAAACGATGCTGAGAAGCATGCACGTACATACATTTTGCACAATTATAAAACGAAGAAGAAATCGGTAATGCGATGAAGAGAAGGTGGACACCACTTGAAAGACTACGATGGAAGAGAAGGAGAGACAGAGACAGAGAGAGAGAGAGAGAGAGAGAGAGAGAGAGAGAGAGAGAGAGAGAGAGAAAGAGAAACACGACGTTGCGAATATAATGATTCGCGTCATCGGCAACGATCCTAAATGGAACGGTGAGTACGATGAAGCAAGTTGTTACGAACACGTATTATGTGTATATGTATGTGTATTTCGTAGTAGTAGTAAGTAGTAGTACACGGTCTTGTATATCGCGTTTAATGCAGTCGGCCAATTTTATTTTTTGTATTTTGTTAATTGTTTTTTTTTTTTCGTAAACTAAAAAGGGGATTTCAACCTTTGTGACCTAAGAGAAGAACAAACATTTTATTTTAAATAATAATAATATTAATATAAAATTGTATCTTTCTTCTTCTTGATTTTATTAGGACTTTGTCTTGTTATAATAGCTTT